CAGGTCGGCGACCAACAGGTCGCGCGTGGTGGGGTAAAGTGTGGGGACTCCCACCTCTTCCACGACGTCTGGTCAGCGTGGAAGAGGAGAGCAAAAAAAACATTCCAGAGCCTCCTCCTTTAGTGGAGCCTCCTCCTCCTCCACTAGTGGAGCCTCCTCCTCCTCTAGTGGAGCTTCCTCCTCCTCCTCTAGTGGAGCCTCCTCCTCCTCTAGTGGAGCTTCCTCCTCCTCCTCTAGTGGAGCCTCCTCCTCCTCTAGTGGAGCTTCCTCCTCCTCCTCTAGTGGAGCCTCCTCCTCCACGAGTGGAGCCTCCTCCTCCTCTAGTGGAGCTTCCTCCTCCTCTAGTGGAGCTTCCTCCTCCTCTAGTGGAGCCTCCTCCTCTAGTGGAGCCTCCTCCTCCTCTAGTGGAGCCTCCTCCTCCTCTAGTGGAGCCTCCTCCTCTAGTGGAGCCTCCTCTAGTGGAGCCTCCTCCTCCACTAGTGCAGCTTCCTCCTCCTCTAGTGGAGCCTCCTCCTCTAGTGGAGCCTCCTCCTCCTCTAGTGGAGCCTCCTCCTCCTCTAGTGGAGCCTCCTCCTCCACTAGTGCAGCTTCCTCCTCCTCTAGTGGAGCCTCCTCCTCTAGTGGAGCCTCCTCCTCCTCTAGTGGAGCCTCCTCCTCCTCTAGTGGAGCCTCCTCCTCCTCTAGTGGAGCCTCCTCCTCCTCTAGTGGAGCTTCCTCCTCCAGTGGAGCCTCCTCCTCCTCTAGTGGAGCCTCCTCCTCCTCTAGTGGAGCCTCCTCCTCCTCTAGTGGAGCTTCTTCCTCCTCTAGTGGAGCCTCCTCCTGTAGTGGAGCCTCCTCCTCCTCTAGTGGAGCTTCCTCCTCCTCTAGTGGAGCTTCCTCCTCCTCTAGTGGAGCTTCCTCCTCCTGTAGTGGAGCTTCCTCCTCCTGTAGTGGAGCTTCCTCCTCCTGTAGTGGAGCTTCCTCCTCCTCTAGTGGAGCCTCCTCCTCCTCTAGTGGAGCTTCCTCCTCCTCTAGTGGAGCCTCCTCCTCCTGTAGTGGAGCCTCCTCCTCCTCTAGTGGAGCTTCCTCCTCCTCTAGTGGAGCTTCCTCCTCCTCTAGTGGAGCTTCCTCCTCCTGTAGTGGAGCTTCCTCCTCCTCTAGTGGAGCTTCCTCCTCCTCTAGTGGAGCTTCCTCCTCCTCTAGTGGAGCCTCCTCCTCTAGTGGAGCCTCCTCCTCCTCTAGTGGAGCCTCCTCCTCCACTAGTGGAGCTTCCTCCTCCTCTAGTGGAGCTTCCTCCTCCTCTAGTGGAGCTTCCTCCTCCTCTGGTGGAGCTTCCTCCTCCTCTGGTGGAGCTTCCTCCTCCTCTAGTGGAGCTTCCTCCTCCTCCTCCAGTGGAGCCTCCTCCTCCTCTAGTGGAGCTTCCTCCTCTAGTGGAGCCTCCTCTTCCTCTAGTGGAGCCTCCTCTCGAGCCTCTTCGAGAGGAGGCTCCACTCGAGGGCAGGGAGCGAGACAGAGAATTTGCATGGACTGCGCCTTTGCCCTATAACCGAGAACGGAGGTCAAAATGCGATTTGGAGCCAAGGCGCGTGACGCGCGCGGTGTTCAAATCGGTGCGTTCATGACGAACGCCTCCATTGGAAAGGGTGAAGCGGTTGCCTGACTTTCGGAACCGTTAACCGTTTCTGAAACCGGTTACCGGTTTTTGCCGGTTGTCGTTGAAGAGGAACCCGAGGCGAGTTTGACCCGAGGTTCAACAGCAACAGAAGCAGCGGCAGCGAGCCGCGCTCACCACTAAAATATGCCGCACTTTTAAAGCCGCCACCGCCAACACTGCACTGGCATAACAAGAGCTCGTCACGCCGTCACACAATAATCATCATAATAATCATACGTCAACATTGCAGTGCACCTCCATGCAATATATATACAGCATCTATCCTTAAAAGTGATCGTCTCTCACACACACACACACAGCATACACGCACAGCGGATACGATGTGGCTGGTGGAATTGCAGTAGACCAACGAGGTTTCCTATCCGTATACCGTATTTAAAAAAGACTCAACACAATAACAACAGTGGTGTGTGTGTGTGGTCTTAAAGAAAAAACATATAATCGTTGACGTTTCGGGGAATGGCTCTTCTTCAGAGCACATCAACCGTTAATTGTGCTTGCACACCACTGCCAGCACAAACGAACACAATTTGTCTCGAGTAGGCATGGTGAGTTTGTCCCAGAGGCAAGACAAAACACACAATTCAATAATGAATTTGCCAACACGTTCCCAATGTAATGATATGGGCCCTGATAACTCGGTGAGGCTCTCCTGAGTAAATATATCACATTATCGTGTGAATATTATGAGATTATGTTATTATTGTTGCTTTTTAGAAGCATGGATTTGCTAAAAGATGTGGTGATGATGTGTGTGACCATTACGCGTCGGTCATGGAAGGGGGGTGGGGGGGGGGGGGGGGGGGGTGGGGAGTGGGGGGGTGGGGGGGTGGGGGGGGTGGGGGTTTGACCATACTTCACTGCTGTGGTCACAGTACGGCTGCCTGATGAACACTCACTCTCTCTGTCGACTTTGGCAAAGCCGCCACTGCACTGCCCCGTGAACTCGGCCAACCGAGTTCGATTCCCGTGCCACGGCTAGCATCATCAGTGGCACGGCTAGCATCATCAGTGGCACGGCTAGCATCATCAGTGGCACGACTAACATCATCAGTGGCACGGCTAACATCATCAGTGGCACGGCTAACATCATCAGTGGCACGGCTAGCATCATCAGTGGCACGGCTAACATCATCAGTGGCACGGCTAACGTCATCAGTAGCACGGCTAACATCATCAGTGGCACGGCTAACGTCATCAGTGGCACGGCTAACGTCATCAGTAGCACGGCTAACATCATCAGTGGCACGGCTAGCATCATCAGTGGCACGGCTAGCATCATCAGTGGCACGGCTAGCATCATCAGTGGTATGGCTAGCATCATCAGTGGCACGGCTAGCATCATCAGTGGCACGGCTAACATCATCAATGGCACGGCTAGCATCATCAGTGGCACGGCTAACAGCATCAGTGGCACGGCTAACATCATCAGTGGCACGGCTAGCATCATCAGTGGCACGGCTAACATCATCAGTGGCACGGCTAACGTCATCAGTGGCACGACTAACATCATCAGTGGCACGGCTAACATCATCAGTGGCACGGCTAACAGCATCAGTGGCACGGCTAACATCATCAGTGGCACGGCTAACATCATCAGTGGCACGGCTAGCATCATCAGTGGCACGGCTAGCATCATCAGTGGCACGACTAACATCATCAGTGGCACGGCTAGCATCATAAGTGGCACGGCTAGCATCATCACTGGCACGGCTAGCATCATCAGTGGCACGGCTAACATCATCAGTGGCACGGCTAGCATCATCAGTGGCACGGCTAGCATCATCAGTGGCACGACTAACATCATCAGTGGCACGGCTAGCATCATCAGTGGCACGACTAACATCATCAGTGGCACGGCTAGCATCATCAGTGGCACGGCATTGAGCAGCGTGGTTGACGTAGCAACGGATTGACAAAGAAATGTGTATATTATATTATATATTCTTATATTGTATATTATATATTACTATATTATATTACATATTATATTGTATATTATTATATTATATTGTATATTAATATATTTTATTGTATAGTATATATTATATTGTATATTATGTATTACTGTATTTCAATCTCTGTCGTTATAACCTCACGATACAGAGCCTAGCCAATCTCTATCCACAGATGGATGGAGGTCTCCCCGCGGCGTTGACCATGGGCTAGGGAGCTGGAGGGGGGGGGGTGTTTTGACCATACTTCACCACACTGGTCACAGGTGCAGCTTGATGAATAATTGCACCGCCGTATATAGATGTACAAATTACGAGATATGCGTATGAATCCAAGACTCGCTATTTCAAAGCCAACACAGCCGACACTTTCCTTGATAAAGCGAGGTCATCAATGTTATTTTCAGCTCACGGTCTGCAGCCTATTTGAGTTTACACACAGATGACCAACAGTTTATATCGTTCGTACACGCTGCAGTCTACAATTAGACAGCGCGTACAAGCTGCAGTTCAGAATATATCGTCTAAAACAATGTATGTATGTTGAACTTCTTTCGCACCGTACGTAGCCAACCGTACTAATCGGGAGGTGCGGTGAATGACAGTCGTAATGAGGGGTACACATACTCCCTCCAGGCTATGATATATTACAGCTGCAGTCTATAGGCACAACTTCGCCTATAACTCCTGAACATGCAGTCGACACAATGAGCAGGGTTAGTCCATAGACTCTGTGGCACGCACGGTACAAGATCTGGAGGCTCGCCTACGCTGGGTGCTCTACCGCCCGTTCATGAGACACACAACGGTACACATTCACTGACACATTCACTCTCACACACGTACACATAGACACACGCCCATACACATTCACTGACAAACACATTCACTCTCACATACACAAATACAAAGATCCCCCGTATAGCCTTAACAGACTGTTGGGGCAAGTGCTGTTAAGCGAGCACCTATGAAGGCCGGAACGGTACACGAGGGGGTGGGTGGCCATCACCACGCGCGGCCGCCTTTGTCTCCTCAGTGGCGATGTTTACACACCACATCAGGTACTCATTTGAGGCTGAGTGGACCGAGGGGAGGCCCGTAACACTCCCATACACACTCGCTGACATACACATTCGCTGACATACACATTCACTCTCACACACATACATACTCCCATACACATCGAGTCCCAAACACGTTGACTCCCAAATACATTGACTCCCAAACACATACACACTCCCATACCCATACACCGATGCACACACACACACTACTCTCGTACGCATACATACACACAGACATACGCTCTACACATCACAGATAGACATTCGCGCACCGTGGGACACACGGAGAGATGGAGCCAGCAGCAACAGCAGCAGACAATGGCTCACCGATCCCTCCTGGTTGCTCTCGGTGTCCACGCGTGTTTCCGCCGTGTCTCCGCTGTCTCTCTCCGAGCTTTATGAATAAATCAGCTCTGTGTGAGCGAGTAGCTCCGGCTGCTGCTGCTGCTGCATCACCCGCTCCTCTCTCTCCCCGCCCCTCTCTCTCGACTCTCCCTCTCCACCCTCTCTCCCCCCACCCTCTCTCTCTCCACCCTCTCTCTCTCTCCACCCTCTCTCTCTCTCTCGCCCCACCCTCTCTCTCTCTCTCTTTTTATTACGATCAGAGGAAACAAGAAGATGCTCGGTGTAGTCGGCACTTTGCTTCGTTCATCATTTCGGTTTTTTGTGTTCTTTCATGCTTTGCTTTATGTACCCCCCCTTTTTAAATGAAAAACCCAACAAAATATATATTTTTTAACTACGACAAGTGCTGCATCTGCACGCAGCCCTTCCCACAGTCAAACGGCCTCCGACGGGTAGCTTAGATCTGCATGCAGAGCTCTCCGTCATCTGCCACCGAGCACACGGCCTCCTCCAGCGCCCTCTGCTCCTTGAAGGTCGGCACGGCGTGGGTCAGCCACGCATGGCGGAACTTCGGCCACACCCTGGCTCCGATCAGAGCGCGGAAGATGCCCAGGCTGCTGGCCGGACGTTGCCCCTCCAGGGCCACCTTCCTCACCCTGTATATGGCGAGCTTGGCGTAGCCGAAGAGCACGTTGACCGGCCCCTGACGATGTTGGGGTCCATCGCCCTTCGGGTATCCAAAGATGAGGACCGTTGGGGAGAAGTGGAGGCTGAACCTTAGGAGGATGTTTCTCAGGACCTTGAACAGCGAGTCCAGGCTCTTGCACTCCACATATTGGTGCGCCACCGTCTCCACTTTACCGCAGAACCGGCACTCCGGGGACGTGTCGGTGAAGCGCGCCAGGGAGGCATTGGTGGTGACGGTGCCGTGGGCGATGCCCCAGCTGAGGTCGCCGATGCGGTTGTACGTCGGGCTGGAGTAGAGTTGCCCCCAGCGAGGCCTCTCCGGAGAGACGCAGGGCAGGGCTTTCCTCCAGGCCTGGTCCTTGTGGCTCCTCAGGGTGTCCTGTTGGTGGAACCGGACCATGTAGGAGTAGAGCACCTTCCTCTTTACATTTGCGAAGGCCACCTCTGGCAGGTCTTCTAGGCGGCATAGGTTGTGATCCGCCTTCGTTTGTCGGCATTGGCGATGCAGTGGCACGACTGAGAGCTCCGGTGGAGGGGGACCGAGAGGGGCCTCGTCATCCCCAACGCCGATGGGGGGCGTTCTCCCCGCTGCCGCTGAGAAGGCCCCTTTGGCTTCGGCCAGGATCCGGGCAGCCACCCGGAGCGACTGCAGCCCTGTCTTTGCGGCCATGTCTGCTGGTCCGAGCCACCGGCCCCCTGTTTCAGGCTCCACCAGATCCACCATCCTGGTGAGCCGCGCGTTGGCGAGGCGCCTCTCCATGCCTGGGGTGGCGGTGGTGGATGGCAGCTTTGTCTGTGGGTTCCTGAGGATCGGTTCGAAGACCAAATCCTCGGCCGATCGCGGCTGGTTCAGCCTCCTCACGGCGAGGGAGCTCCATGTCTGCAGGACGCTCCTGTAGAAAGGTGGCAGCTGTCCGAGTGGGAGGCCCTGCAGGTCCGTGTAGAATAGTTGTTTGGAGCACTGCAGACCCCCCAGCTGTTTCAGGAGGAAGGAGGCCGTGACGCTCCAGGTCGGTGCTGGGGCGGCGTGCAGGGGCGGCGTGCAGGAACTTTTGCGCTGCCTGCAGTCGGAAGGTGGCCAGCTGACTCCGCACACACACCGGCCCGTGACCGCCCTCGTCCAGTGACAGGGCCAGGACCTCAGCCGCGACCCGGTGTCCTCCACCCGACCAGAAGAAGTCGAGGACTCGCTTCTGAAGTGCGTTGACGAGGCTCATGGAGGGTGCAGGGAGAAAAGTCGGTGCCACAGCATGGACGTCACCAGCTGGTTCACCACCAACGTCTTTGTCCTGAATGTGAGGAACTTGCACAGGTGACTCCAGGTGCCCAGCCGCTCCTTCACCTTCTCCTCCAGCTCGACCCAGTTCCTCTGCGGTGGTTCCTCCTCTGGTCCCAGGAACACCCCCAGGTGGTGCAGTGATGTTGTGCTCCAATTGATGGCTTTTGCCTTCTCGGGACACTCGGTCAGCAGGCCGCTGCGCTTTTGCCAGTTCATTTTTGATTAGGAGGCTTTCGAAAAGACCTCCAGGCACTCATGCAGCAGGGCGACATCATCCAGGGATCGCAGGATGAGGAGGACGTCGTCGGCGTATGCCGTCAGGACCAACTTGACGCTTGGTTCCCTGAGCACCAGGCCGCTGAGTCTCCGCCTTATGAGACTCAGGAAAGGCTCTAATGCCAGGGCATAAAGTTGGCGCGACAATGGGCATCCCTGTCTCATACCTCGCTCGAATTACACACAGCACCGCGCTAACCGCTGCACCACCGCTCCCCCGCTGTTACAGTACAGCACTCTCTCCCCACCCTCTCTCTCTCTCTCGGCTCTCTCTCTCCCTCTTCACTTCCTCTCCCTATTGGATCTCTCTCTCCCTCTTCCACCCCCTCTGTCTCTCTTGGCTCTCTCTTCCACCCCCTCTCTCTCTCTTGGCTCTCTCTTTCACCCTGTTCCTCACTCCCATGTTTCTCCCCCCCCCCCCCCCCCCCACTATTTCCCACCCACACTTCCCCCCACCCTCTCTCTCGCTCTTCCTCCATTAACAGACTCCTCCTTTTTCCGCACAACACACGACACAACCATCACCATCATCACTACCATCATCACTGCCGTCACCATCACTGCAATCACCATCACGACCATCACTACCATCATCGCATCACTAACGTCACCATCACTACCATTATCGTTACCATCAGTACCATCATCATCATAATCACTACCATCACCATCACTACCATCATCACTACTATCATCACTACCATCACCATTACGATTATCATCACTACCATCGTTACCATAACGACTACAATCATCACTAACATCACCATTACTACCATCACCATAGCTACCAATCACTACCATCATCACTACCATCATCATCACCATTACCATAATGACCAATATCATATCCATCATCATCAACAGCAGCATCGCTACCGTCAACATCACAATCGCTGACTAGAATCATCATCATGATCTGGGATCATCATCATCATACCATCACAATAATATCATCATCAGGACCCTGATCGCAAGCAACATCACAATGTCGCCATACGACTTCAGTGTGGGCTGTAAATTATTATCGGCCAAACGTGCAAAGACAAAGATCCCCGTATAGCCTTAAGAGGCCGTTGGGGCAAGTGCTGTCGGCGATCACTTGAGGGTCGGCACTAGAGAGGGAGTGGGTGGGCAACACGACGCCCGACCGCCTTTGTCTCTCCACTGCTGATGCATTCACACCGCACCAGATACCACATTTCAGGCTGAGTTGACCTTGTGGAGGGGCCCAAGACCGTTGCAAATCGTCGTCACCGATGTATGGGGCAAGCGCTGTTAGCGAGCACCTATAAAGGTCGACACGGCACGCGAAGGGGTGGATGGCCACCAACACCACGCCCGGCCGCATTTGTCTCCCTTGTGGCGATGATTTGTACACACTGCGCCAGGTACTCATTTGAGGCTGAGTCGACCTAGGGGAGGCCCAGGGCCGGTTCAGATAATCGTCACCGGTGTTAGCCGTGAGCGAGAATCGAACTCGGGTCGCCAGGTTCGTAGCGCAGCGCACTAACCGCTCCCCCCCCACACACACACCTAACCATACGTACACACGCGTAGCTAGACATGCACACGTGTGTATACATGTACTGTATACGAGCATTGCTCAAACTCACCATTGTGCACGTGTGTGTGTTCACCTCCAACCATCCACTGAATCATATACACAACCACCGCCACCATACATACATACACACAGATCTCACACACACACACAACTGACATACACACATCTTACAGATTCTCAAACGCGCACACACACACACATATCTCACACACATAGACATATCACACATTGCCAGATACGCACGTCTCACACAGAGACACACCACACACGTATCTGAAACCCTTAACGCATCCATCAATGAAGCCGAAATTGACAAGTAAACGTGATCCCAGCACTCCCCACACACACAAACACAATGATCCCCCATTGAGCTTGGACGAACTGTTGGGCGCTCGATATTAGCGAGCACCTATGAAGGCCCTGCACAGCACACAAGGGGGTGAGTGGCGAGCACCATGCCCGGCCGCCTTTGTCTTCCTCGTGGCGATGTTTACATACCGCACCAGGTACTCATTTGGGGCTGAGTCGACCTTGGTGAGGCCCAGGACCGATTCAAATAATGGTCACTGGCGTTTGTGGCCGTGAGTGGGAATCGAACTCGGGTTGCCGGGGTTTCGTAACGCAGCCGCGACAGCGCCGCTCCACACTCACACGAACTGACACACAAACAGCGGCTCGCAGCCGCACGTTGTTGCCTGTCCCACATGGAAATCCCACTGATCGGAAGTACATGTTAAATAGTGTTGGGACCGGTCCGAGTTTGTTTCATGTCTTACGCGGGATGATCCCGTTTTATCCAGTTGCCCGGCTATTTTGCAAAGGGAGATCCGTGGCGCGTGAGCCCACAGAAACTTGTAAACGAGGTATTTAATGGTCGTAAATATAACTCCAGTGCAAACATATTGCGAGAGCAAGAGGCGCCAGAATAGAGTGAGGCACGGGTGCCAGGTAGCTCCGTGGTGTTTGTTTGTGTGCCTAACGGGGGCAATAAGAGGGGTAGGCAAGGGGTAGAAGAACCAAGCTGTGGATGTGTGCCAAGGGGATTCCACAAACGTGGAGGAGCAACGTGGACTTTTTGTGACGCAGTTTTCTCAAATGGCAGTTTTAGGAGGAATAAGGAGGCACTGCTGAGGCTACGGGAGGGAGCCAGAGGAGCTAAGTGGCCCTGGAGGTATTTGGCGATGGAATTGATAAAAGAGGGCGTCTTGGATGAAGACCGCCTAATGATGGTCACTCCGGATGTCCAAGGAGGAGAGACAGATTCGAGTGAATGTAAGCTTGGAATGATGCGTTCTTTCGGGGGCGTCTAGGGCAAAACGGAGTGGGGC